AGAACTGTGCAGAGGTAAATTATGAAATGACAGATTAAATAAATGATTGAATTCACAATTTTCTGCAGCTTCAGCCACAGTGGAAGACTTCCAGATCCGTCCACACTGTCTGTTTGTTCACTCGTATCGAGCTCCAGCCTTCTGCGACCACTGTGGAGAGATGCTGTGGGGACTCGTACGACAGGGGCTCAAATGTGAAGGTACTTACTAACTAATGCTGTTTTCTTTGTTGTTTATAAATTTGGATTATACAAATTAGATACTGGTTAATAAATTTGGGGTATTCTCTCCTTCTGTCCAGGCTGTGGTCTGAATTATCACAAGCGTTGTGCCTTTAAGATCCCCAATAACTGCAGCGGAGTGAGGAGGCGACGCTCGTCGAACGTCTCCCTGACGGGGGGGCTGGTAAACGTGGGCCGCCCCCTGTCTGCTGAGCCCTCACCGCCCCACTACACCGATGATGCTTTGCTGGTCAGTAGACTGAGGCTCAGGCTCATCACATATGTCCTAAACATGTCTGTACTGGTATTTGTGGACGTAAATATAAACTCTTTGTATACAGAATATGTGTCTTACTACAACTCCAAATCCGAAATCCAAAGACTGACAGACATACTGAGTTTAGTTTTAACTAAGCTAGGGGTTTAGCAAACAACGTTGTGGTGGCAGAGGACCAAACAGCAGCCTGTTCTGGTTCTTATATCACTGCCAGATGTAGCTCTTTGACAGGTTTGGCTTGCAATTAGGGGGGTCAAACATCACTATAACTATCTTTCTTATTTTTTTCTCTCTCATTGTTCAGTCTCCAGTCAGTCCCAGCATGGAGGTAAGTCCCACTACTTTTAGCCATAATAATACGGAGATGTACTGCACTTGCATTTTAACAGTTATGCTTCTGGTTATTTAACACATGGGATTGTAAAGATATTTGTTTACTCCTCTAATGTTCTAATTCATTGCATTGGTCATGAGTGTATGAAACAATAATAATTGTTTGTAGCATGGCAATCAGATGCTTGATTCAAGATTCTGACGCTCGGAAGGTCCATGAAACTAAAAAGATAAGAAAGGGGTTTAGAGTCCCTGAGAACAGTTTTAAACCTGAAAATGACACCATTTGATTTGTAATCCTGGTCGAAAATTAATGCTGGCCAGCAACCAAATACTGTTTATCTGCCAGTTTCTCAAGTAACCAACCACAGTCTGGAACCTGTTATAAGCACCAGTAATGATGCAAGTTGCTTGTAAATTAATCTATTTAAGTAAAACTACTTTTCTGGTCCAACGATGATGTCCAATGATGTCATGACAGCTTCTCCACTCTGGTCTCCTGATTTTTGTCTCTGCTCACAGCAGAAGAACCAATTAGATTACTTCCCTGGTAGAGAGCGGCGCTCCAGCTCCCAGTCGTATGTCGGCCGTCCCATTGAACTGGACAAGATCTTGCTGTCGAAGGTCAAAGTTCCTCACACCTTTGTGATCCACTCGTACACCCGGCCCACCGTCTGCCAGCACTGCAAAAAGCTGCTGAAAGGCCTCTTCAGACAGGGCCTGCAGTGTAAAGGTGAGCATCTTGTAAACTGCTCTACAACTCTGAAGCTTCTCTAGCGCCACCTACACACTGCAGCATGCACGACAGTCACATCCTGATGATTTATTCTCAGCAGCAGTGGAGATATCCTGCAGCTCAAAATTTACATCTAATGCAGGAGTTAGCGTAGCATAGTCGGAAGTAAGAACGGGGAAATCAATAGGTGCAGGTTAACAACAGAATTATACGAGTTCAAATTATTTACAATTTTACTAATGTTATTGACATTATCCTCTGTTAATCCTTGTGTTTTTGGCCATACATGTACCGTAAAAATTCAACTACTCCCAGTTGGACGCCTGTCCCTTTTACTGGCCTGGTTTGGCTACATGTTTTGACAAATAAAAAGCAGGTCTCAATTAGATGCTTGGTTTGGTTTTTATAGAAGTTTTCTGGATGTATAAAACCTCTTAAAGCCCACCAGGTCGCCCACTTGAGACAAGCTGCTTAGATCGCATGTAAATGTTAAAACTTTTCAATATGGACACGATACACATTGTAAGATCAGTTAGATTCTTCACAATTCAGTTCATTTTATGGACATTTAGATTTACTGGTTTGGTAAACAAGAGAGATGAAAAATGCCTAATATTCATACTGGTTAAAATAAACAAATTGATAATTGATAGTAGCCTGTTTCCCATCTTTGCTGAGCGAAAGGCTTTGTTAGAAAGGCATATAAAAAGCCTGTCCCATATAAACGCCTATCCAAAATATAGACAGGGTAAGTTCAGTGATTGAAGCAAATAAAATAATAAATAGTGATATTTCCTGAAATAGAGGAAAATTCTATCCCCTCTCTGAAACTGTCTAGACATTTGAGAATGTTTTGATTTTGCATGTCTTATTTAAATCAGATTTAACTCTCGCCCAGCTCTGCATAGAAATGAATGGATAGTGACTTGGTTACATGGGCTGCGTCCTGATTTGAATCAAATTACGTACTCATTCAAACTTAGTGGGGTTTTAAGTGACAGCCCTATGTACTGTACTATTAACACTTTGTTAAAGTTTACGCATCTGTGGTTAAAGCCAGTTTCTCTCCTTCCTCGTTTCTCTCTCAGATTGTAAATTTAACTGTCATAAACGATGTGCTCCAAAAGTGCCAAACAACTGCCTGGGAGAAGTTTCGAAAAATGGAGGCAAGTTTCAACACACACACCTGATTGTATCTACCTGCTAGGACCCTCCTTGATTTTACAACTACAGTCATAAACTCAACCTGAACCTAATTCTAACCTTAAAACTCACTTGTGGGCGTGTTTTTGCTTTACAGAGCTGCTGAGCCCGGGGGCGGAGTCAGATGTCGTCATGGTCGAGGGTTGCCTAGATGACCATGATCTCGACAGAGGTGGCGGCCTGTTGGACGACATGGATGAAGCGCTGTCATCAGAGGGTGGTCTACTGCTCGAGGCGGGGACCGGCGACCTCTGCGACCTGCACGACCCTGACCTGGACGAGTCCAACCGGGCCATCAGGTACAGAAACCCAGACGCAGGCATGTTTCCCACCCTTAAACCCAGTCTTCACCCTAAAATGTTGTGATTTACGTTATGGGGACTTGCGTTTTATCCCAAAAGGGGAGTGACTCCCTACAATGGTGAGGTTTTGTTTTTTCCCACCCCCCCTGCAGCCCATCCACCAGTAACAACATCCCTCTGATGCGAGTCGTTCAGTCTGTGAAACACACAAAGAGGAAGAGCAGCAGCGTGATGAAGGAGGGCTGGATGGTTCACTACACCAGCAAGGACACTCTGGTACTGTACCTGTTTGTTTGTCTGCCTTGTCTACCTGTTCCAACCAACCATAATTTGGTCTCTTCACCATTAATGACCTGATTGTTGGAAAAAAAAAAAAACGTGCTTTTACGATAAATAAAGAATATACAGTATATCACAAGTATTTACTCATAGATTGGGGTAAAAAACACACAGTTGTTGTTGGAGATTCAAGCAGCACATTTGAGAAGAGCCACTCTGATCATCCCTGTCCATTACAGCAGGTAGATGAACTATGTAACAGTGGACAGAGGAAAGCCCAATCTGAAGACTCTGATCTGCAGTCGTAAAAATGTACAGAAGTCTTATTGTGCAAATAAACAGGTGGACTGCATGTGCACCACTGCAGCTCCTTTGGTATAAGAGTAAAAATCTTCTGATTGTAAAACAAATTTGAGATACTTGTATTTCAAGTTTATGCAACCTCCTACTTTTTACTCCACCAGACCTCAGAGGCACATTCTGTACTTTGTCAGGTTTTGCCATGTGCTCAGGCAGAAACAGGTTGTAGCACCCAAATGCAAACAGTAACATTGCAGGTTCTTTTGATTTAGTAAAGAAAAAACTTAATTGTCCAACTTAAACACAATATCCAACAAAGAATGGTTACTCTGGAAAGGCAGCGGAAATCCAAACACTAACTAAACAAATAATGATGTATGCTGGAGAGAAACTATCATCCAAGAACAAACCAACGGGCAGGGAATCAGGCAGACATGTTGAGAGAGAGTACACACAATATGAACACATGAATGACAAGAATCCAGCAAAGACAGAACAGAACAGAACAGCAGGCAGTGTATAAAGGAGCTAGAGAGTAGGGAGGGAACAAACAGGTGAGACACATCAGTATAATCAGGGCAGAACTGGAAGCAAAACAAACACCAGGAACAGACCATCACCACACTAAAGCAGGAAATGGAACAACATGCAGAAACAAGAACCGAACAGACAGAACCCACAGATCGAAAGCTAACTGAATGGAGAAAAGCATGATGTGAGCACCTGTGACACAAACAGTTTACCAAAATAAACCAAAAACAAACAGTCACATGGACACACACACAGAGCGGATCTTTACATCTTTACGCTACAGTTGCTCTGTATGAGTTTGTTGTATAACGCTGCAGGTTTGTGAGTCGCTGAGGCCCCAAACTGTTCACCCATTAAGGATGAGACTGTGTGAAACAGGACAGAGTGTCCCAGACCGAGATCAGCTGACATCACTGCAGATATTTCACTACCAGAACTGAACTGCTCAGGTTGTGGGATTGGTTGTAAAGGAATTACAGATTCAAAGATTTAAATAATTGATCCTACACATTTTTATGACCCGATTTTACAGTCATAACATTTCGGATAATTTTTTTTTTTTACATTCCTCTCTGAATAATTTTAGTTACTTAAACCACAAACAACTTGGCTTGTTTTTAGTTTTAATACAAGAATAAATATGACAAAAATGTAAATATTGTTTGTGAACATGCTGACAGTTGACAGTTTCTGGTCCAGATTCTATTATTTTATTTATTTTATCTCATTGGTTGTTGTTTTCTTTTTTTCATACTTAGGCCAGACAAGAGTTTTTGTTAAAAATAAAAAAAATAAATGAGCTGATAACTAGATGTGATGTGAATATTAGGCATATTATTAATATCAGCTGATTAAATTTCTAACAATAAGAGAACTGTTAAAAGAAAAAGTATTATTTTGATTTTATTGACACCTTTTCTGCCACTTGTGGTTTTGTGTTGGTGCAGATTTGTTTGGCAGATTTGTCTTCAAAACTGAGACACACTTTCAAGTTTTTTTTAAACAAAAGTGTAATAAAATAAATATTTTTTCATCCTGAGGTGTTGCTGATCTGGATCTTTCAGCTCTGTGTAAAAAGCTGAAAGAAGCTGAATCCGATTCAGAGTTGAGTGACGCCAGCGTTTCTCTTCCCCATTTCTGTTTCCATTTTCCTCTTGCCTTTCTCTTTTTTCTCTCACTCTTTCCATTCCTCCCCGCCTGCTGTTTCATCTTAATTCTCGTTTCTTCTTTCCTCCTCTCCATCTCTGCGTTTCAGAGGAAGAGACATTACTGGCGCCTGGACAGTAAATGCATCACGCTGTTTCAGAACGACACAGGAAGTAAATACTATAAGGTAAGACAAGCTCCGTAGCCGTCTGCTTCATCAAAGGTTTCTGGGGAAAGCAGGACAATTCTTGTGTGTTTAGAGTTTGTGCTCATTACTTACATTTTCTTCCTTCTTGTGTAAAATTTTCCTCTTAAGTGCACTACAGATACAGACTAACTGCCTGTGCATGAGTTCAAACTACTGTTGAACTCTGCTGGTTTGTTTTAGGACAGCTGGAAACTCTCACCATTCTTTCAGTTCCTGCCTGTGCAGTTTAATAAATGGACAAATTCTCCCAAATCTTCCTCAAACCGGTTCACATAAAATATATATCGTTACAGGAGAAGTAGACGTTTGTACTAAAAACTACGAACATGTCCATAGATATAATGGTGGCAAAATTCCTAGTAACTGTTGAAACAGTGGGTCCTTGATTTAAAACAGAAGTTATCAAAAGTAACTTCTCCAGACTAGCCAACGACTCTTGTCTAATTAACTTCCTGAGCTAGGTTGGTCTCCGGGTGAAAAGTTTTAAAACAAGAAAGAGCAGTATTTTTCTTTCTATTACAGGGTAAAGCTAGTTAGCGATAGTTTAGATTAATTATAATATGAATGCATGAGTTACTTCAGTTAGATTTCACCTTTATTGTTTGTATTTCCAAACAATAGAATTCACTTTTACACAAGATAACACACACTAAAGGAGCTTTAAAAGATTAGGGTGACCCAAGTTAAACAAGGTCCTCTCAGGTAAGCTTCCACCAATCCAATTCAAAGAGCAGAACACATATTTGGCAGTATTGGTAGGTGGGAAGCTGGTGCAGGATCATGTCCTTGTTGTTGCAAGGATCTATTTTGGGTACATCAGTGTACATTTACAGCTATGTATATACTCCAGGGGTACTGGACCAGTAGAGATTTTTTCCCTTCATCCTCGGCCCCTCTTCTCTCTGCAGGAGATCCCTTTGTCAGAGATCTTATCTCTGGAACCGGCTCAGACCTTCTCTCTGCTTCCTGATGGAGCCAATATTCACTGCTTTGAGATCGCCACAGCGTCACTGGTTTACTACGTCGGAGAGAACCTGCAGAGAGCTGACTCATCTGTGACTGGCAGCAGCATTCTGGTGAATAATATGATGCTCTGTGCATAGATAGATGGATGGATGGAGATCCAGCAACATCCTAGTTCACATTATTACAAAATGGGATGAGTTATAGAGCTTCCTCTCCTAAGGGTTTAAGTCTTTGTCTGAAGACACTCCACTTCGCAACTAGCATTTTGTGGAGGGGGTGAGACATTTTTCAGGATACTAAGCAACTTGGACAGCATCCTCTTCTCCGTAACCGCCTCCAGAGACTCTAGCTGAACTCCTCCTCCAATCACTGAGCTAACTACATGTAGTGTAGCTACATTAGCATGTTCTCTTACTTACAATGTCTGTGTCCATTACTCTGATCTCTAGGGTCTACTGGTGGGTCTGTGATGACCCACTGAGCAGGTGCAAGATGAAGCAAAGTTTGGCCTCATTTAATTGAAAACCTTGGGTAAACTTGCTTTACTGACTACTTCTACGGACTGGTTCCAGGTCAGCGGGGTGGGGCAGGATGTAGCTCGGATGTGGGAGATGGCCATCCAGCACGCTCTGATGCCGGCTGTCTCTACAGGAGTTTCCCACGGCTCTCACCGCGGCGGACACAGTAAGACATCATCACAGCTCACTTACAATTGAAAACCTGCACACACGAATGCTGATATTATTAGTAGTATTTGTCTTTAAATCTGGTTCTTTGTTTTGATTATTTTATTATTTATATTATCTTTAATTGTTTTTTATATTTCGTTTTTAAAAGATTTTGTCCTAGAGGGAACCTACGTCTGCTCCTTCTATACAGTCTATTGTTTTGTCCTATCTTTTGGAGACAATGCTGTCAGACGCTAACATTGTTGAACATGAAAGTTCAAATTCAAGAAAGTTTGATTAATTTTAGGTTAAATTGCTTGGACATGAAATTGTATCAAATTCAACTTTAGGTAGCAAACAGCCTTGAGTTGGTTTTGGTTGATCCCACTTTATTTTGATTTGTTGGAAAAATGAGTAGGGTTTTAGGCTAAACCTTAAACTAGTCTGGGCCCAACTAGTCGCAACTTTGGTGTCTCAATAAAAACCTTCTCATTGCAATCAAAGTTAGAATAAAATTCCTATGGAGTGCCCCAAGACTCAATTCTGGATCCACTTCTTTTCCACCCAGCTATATATATCTGTCCATCCTGATGGCCTGAACATGAGTTGTTGAGATTTTAGTAGTGTTAGAGCCCGTGTGACCTACGATTACAAGTAACGACTTGATTCCACCGGGCATGGCTGTGTCACATTCGGCTGCGGCCATTGGAGCTGATCACGGCCATATTAGACAATGGTTGCAGTGTTTTCTATACATTGATTTATTTGTGGCAGTCCGCCACAATATCAGCGCTGACCGCCACATATTGATTTTTTCGATATTGATGGGTTTTTTTAACCCCTTTAAAATGGGTAAACTTTCATTGTAGAGCTGCGTACAGCGTAAATATCTGCTCAGCCCCTCCTCTTGCTCGCTCTCTCTCTCCCTTTCTCACGGGCACCATTGCCTTGTTCATACAGAGATCCAGAAATAAACATGGATAGTATATCCGCCAATATGCCGCATTTTCTCATTCATACTAAACAAAATTTTGCAACATAATCCGGCGACCATGTGTGCTTTCACAGCTATCTGGCTTTTTGGAACCAGCGGCGTAGGTACATGTAATACAACACCAGCATGCTGTGGCTTTTCACTTCCCTGAAGATCAAATCAGACCCGCCCCCTTTCCAATATTATGCCGAGTTCTGTGTGCCCCGAGAATTGCATGCACCTCGCGGGAGGTAACGCTCATACATGCTAAGAAAAGGTGGATACAAATCTGGTGCACTTTGCTGTGCACCTTGATCAAAAGCAGTTATCACCACATCTTTTTGCTGAATCTCAAGGAATGCTACACCAGATGCGCTGCAGCTCGTTTTAGATGCATTTCTGAAGCGGCTTTCCGCTCTGCTAAACAGAAAAACTGCAGCAAGTCTATTTTTGATGAAAAGCAGAACCAGGCAGGAAGTCGGGCATATGAAACGGCATAGAGAATCTGGTCAGTTTTCAAAATAACACCCTGTGCAGACTCCCGATAGTATATCAATAATAAACACAATTAAAACAGACAAAAAAGCATTTCACTATATAGCCTATAGAAGCACAAAAATCTAGACAAAATGTGAACAAAATCAGGCAGGCAACAACGCTCCGCTTCTGAAACGCTCCTGTGGGGTGTGAAGCTGTGCAGAGAGAGGACGTCATAGAGCCGTGCCCGGTGGAATCAAGGCGTAACACCCATCTTTGCGGAGACGGACCTTTACTTTTACCTGTATCTGAACAAAATTTTTAATTCAGCCTCAGTCAGTAAAAACTCATGTAGTGCAGCCAAACTTAGTTCAGACATGTGGAACTTTATTTTAAATTCTACTGGAGATCCCAAACTTTTCAAGCGTACAAAATATGTCAGGCTGATGTTTGTGGAAATGTTAGTAAAATAATGCTCAAGATATCTAAAATATTTACATTTGATGGAATTAGGTTTGAATATTTTACTCATCATAACATCATAAATCTTTAATGGAGAGCTGGAACAACATGATACACAATATGTATATATAAGAACATTCTCAGACATTGTGGAATAACAGCCTTTAAGCTAATTAAAGGGAAATAAAAGGGGATAATGGATGTTAAGAGGTTACTGACAGTGTTCTGTCTTCTCTCTAACCTTTATATGAACACATCACATGCTTCACTTTTACGCCAGCCATAAGAATGGCAGAGAATCAATTTGGAATGAAACTGGACAAATGCAAATGTCATTCGAGCATTATCCCGCCCGTGAAAGGACTCTTCACACAACTCAGGTATTTAATGTTCACGCTGCTGCTGAATTCTCCTGCAGACTCTCAGATCCCCTCAGGGCCGTCGACACCCACACAAAACCCATCAGCGATATTTCAGACCTCCACTGACGTCAAACTGATCATGACACTTCGCTGTGGTCTCGGTGCCTCTTCTGTATCTGTGTGTTCACCTGTGGGGAATGCACACCAAAATAATACTGTGTCAACAGTCAGAAGGGTACAGGCTTCAGATTTATAGCATTTATTATTAATACGCAGAGTAAATACACAGGTTAATATGCTTTAACAGAAACTATCTGCAACAACCTTGTAACCCAAAACTGTTACAGGTGAAGTTAAACTGATATGTTGCAAAATAATGATTGTGTTTGTGTCTCACCAACAGAGGAAATTTCCATCAGCATTTCTGTCTCCAACTGCCAAATCCAGGAGAATGTGGTGAGAAAACACACACATACACACACACACACACACACACACACACACACACACACACACACACACACACACACACACACACACACACACACACACACACACACACACACACACACACACACACACACAGGTGTAGTGGCTTTGTTTACGCAGGTATATAGCACATACCCTGTGCTATCTGCTTGGGGATTTACCACATACCTACCTAAAATTAGCCAATGAAACAAATCACCATTTTATGCAAAGCAAGGCAGTTGCCAGTCATGTGACAGTCCTCCATGTATTATGCAGTGTTAAATGCAAACAGGGAGGCTTCTGTTCCCTGACTTTTGCCTTGAAGGCAGTGCCTCCTTCCCTTCTCTTCAGTGATGTAGGAACTATTCAAATAATTTACTTAAGTAGAAGTAAAACATACCACAGTATAAAAATACTAAAAAGTCTACAAATGTGCAACATGAAGCAAACAAGTCAGATTATTAAACTTTATTAAAGTTAAAAAAATACTGTCTGATGACAACAACACAGATGCAGTGAGAAGGAGAAGCCTCTCCAGAAGGAGATGTGATGAATATAACATAAGTGCGCATTAGGGAAGTAGATGCCTCAATATAAACACCTCCAAAGACACCACAACACCACACACCTGTTTTATCCGCTCTCAGATGGATCTGAGGCTGCAGTCTGGCAACAAGTATGTTCATTAAAAGAAATCTTTAAGGATTCTAAAAAGTCTGATTGTGCAGATATTGAAGACATTTCTGATAAGTAAGTTTGAGTTAATATCAATGTGGCTTTTAAGGAGCCCTATTATTCCGGGGTGGGAGGGTACTGTATTATGCATACATGATGCGCCCGCCTACATGCAGTACATTTAAGTTCAGACTGAGAAAGTTTAGCCTGGGGCAACATAGAAGTATTTTTTTCAGAAACGAAACAATGCCAATGCACAGTGGACAAGCAATGGTTTGCATTACTTTTTGAAACAGACCAGATCAAGTGCTTTACTATTAACCTGTTAATTGTTTCAGGAACCTAAATATATGAAAAATATTTATTTATACAGAAAGAAAACTATCAAAAAATACAATACTTTAGGGCTCTTTTTCTAAATTTGAGGCTTTCTCCCATTGGCTCCCTGTAATTTGAACCCTGGCTAGTTATGGCGTACAGTCACTTTAATCTACTATCAATTAATCCTAATCCCAGTTTATAGTGCTCATTGCAACAGCAGTTATTTGCCTTTTTCAGGAGGAAATCGAGTCTTGCTGTCCTGCACCAGAAAGGAAAAGTCCATCATGTTCATTGGGGTTTGTTTACAGTAGTTATTGTACAGTTGTGGCCAGTGCAGTAGTTGACAGTGTGCCACGTCATTTATAGATAATTGATCGATATCTATGCAATGGGCTATAATCAGCTTGTGTATCAGTCGGGCTCTACTGTAGTGTTTCTCACTTCTGCTAAAACCTTCTGGTTCACGTTAGCGTCAGGTTTTAGTTCTTCCTTTTCCCCCTTTAACTTTTCTGCCTTGAGTTTAACATGATGATGATAAATGTCTCAGCCCCTCTTCCACCACAAACCACATCCTGTTTGTACTTTTTATACGTCTCACTTTTCATCCACTTGCGTTCAAAGACTTCGAGGACATGTCGCAGAGTTTCCCAGAGCAGATCGACGCGTATCAAACACCCTGTAGATTTACATCATAAAGATCTACATAAGGCTCGAATGTCTGCAAACTCTATTCATGCAAATGTATCCGCAGAGAACATCGAGTCCCATTTCCATGCAGACGTGCACCTCGCCGTCTCCAAGGTGAGCGCGTCTTCAAGCACCTCAAATGGAGATTACTGTGATTACTCACTCAGCCAAACGGTTTCCATAGCGACGGATGGTAATTAGGCAGCGAGCTCAGGGAAGGGGGAGGAGGTTTATAATATTGTATTTCTGTCCTCTTTGCTTGAGGTGTGATATTAGGCTGTCAGCTAACAGGGGAGAAAAGGGAGATGTGATTGCAGACAAGGAGAAAATATTTAGCAGTTTTGGTGTCAAAGCTGTGGCAGATCACTGACGCTGTGTAGTTACACTCACAGTAGGCTCTCCTGTGCAAAAAGCTCTCTGAAAACTCCTCCACCAGATCGTGAATTGAATGCATTTCACTTTTTTGTTGAACCCACTTTATGTCAACGGGCCTCGCCTTCCTCGGCTTTACCTTAAAACCTGAGACGATTTCAAATACAAGGAGTTCTGCGTCTCAAAATGGCGGTATATCAAACCATTTAACATTCATACACTCTAGCTGACACTGTCTCTGGAGCAACCAGGGGATAAGTGTGTTGCTCAGGGAAACATAAGAGGTTGTGGGCATGTGTCGTATACACTGCACCATTCGCCACCCAAAACTTTTTTTTAATATATATATATTTTTTAATTTTTTAAGATAAAGGACAGGACAAAACAGAAACAACACCACACCATAAACTCTACAATATAAAAAACACAAGACATTACAGCCCCCCTGGCTGTTGGTACAGATTGATGTTGGGGATAATAATAATAGTGCCATGGCAGTTTCCAAAATGATGTAATCATTCTATTATTGTTCATATATTCTCTAATGAAAGTCCATGGGGCACTTAACACATTATCATAATCATTAAGGTTTGAGGCTGCATTCTCCATCGATAATATCTCTAGGAAGTCTTTCAGCCAGTTGTATTTGTTAAAACATTCCGGTTTACAAATTTTCCTATTCATGAGAATTATCTTTACAGATAAAAAGGCTATATGTGACAATACGTTGTGTAATTATTGCATTAATATTTTGCACTCTCTTTCCCAATATGCACACAACAGGAAAATGTGGAATATGAACTTTCATTATTACCTGTAAAACATCTATCAACTCATTCCAGAATCTTTGTACCATTGGACAGGACCACAATAAATGCATAAATGCCGTGCCAGCACAATTCACAAGCTTTTAGGCACATTTTTTAGGTGACAACAAAACTTTTTAAACAGTTCGCTGTACTGCATAGACCCCACTTCTTGATTGTTAAATCTTCTTGTTTAATTGTCTAAATCATTTTCTACATGTCTGTATTGCCAATTCTCCTCTGTCCCGTCCTCTGCTAAGCAAGGCTGTCACGTTACAGTAATCTGTCACTGCAAGCCGAGACTTCTGTTCCCTCACTTTGGCCTTTAAGGCAGAAATCAGGGAAGTACCAAGCCTGGGGAGAAACGCTGTCATAAGGACAAACTCAGGGAACAACTGTCCCTATGTAATTTAGTAAGTAAAAGTATAAACACCACAGTATAAAAATACTAAAACAGTTTTTAGCAAAATGTCTCATAGGTGAACGTACTGGCTGGCTAATGTCAGTGTCATACTATCATATTATTATTGTATTAATATGTAAGTGGTACATTAATGGTGAAGGTGTAGCTAATTTTAACTACTTATATGTAATCGTTGTTTCACTGCGTAGACTGCCCTCCTTGATTGTTATATCATATTGTTTCATTGTCTTAATCATTTTTCATGTTCTTATATTGTCAATTTCCTTCTGTCCTGTCCTCTGGAACACAGCTGATGGCATCTTCTCCCCAAAACCCTGATCTCCAAAGTCCTTGTTTGTCCAGCATGCACTTTTATTTTCCTTTGTTAAAGAGAAAACGCTTTTGCTGCTTTATTTCTGAGAGTGACAATAGCAGATTGTTATCCATCTCATGCGGGACCTCGTGGACCCCACTCTGTCACACCTCCATGTTAGATGTGTGTGTGGCCACTCAGACTGTGGACTTCTCTTCATCCTGGAGGATTTCCCAAAGCAACCATCCATTGTTACCCTGTGCTCTACAGAGGCTGTGGCTGGTGGGAGCCATATAAAACCGCACTTAAGACTGGATCATGTTCTGACTGGATGGTTCGGTCCACCCGGGGGGGTACAGTCTGCTCGCTTAACTCTGAGGGCTGATGGAGCGTCTTATTGCCGATGCATGATCTCGTTGGGGGTTGCATTTGACTGTTTACTTGAAACATATTAAATGATTGATGTGAACACTCTGTTTTTCAGGATATCAATTCTGTGTATCAGATCTTCCCAGACGAGGTTCTCGGCTCAGGACAGTTTGGCATCGTCTATGGAGGTAAAACTCACAAAGTAGAGACAGATATATGACAATAAAGTAACAATACAGTATTGTGAGAAAAAGTCATAATACTGATTAAAAAAATTATAATACTGTGGAAGTAAAAGTCTTAATATTGGGAAAATATCGTTTACTTTTTATCTGAATCTCAATTTTATTTCCCAACAATCGCAAAATTTGTGTCAAGTCAAAAGCAGAAAAATGTAAAAGGACGTCCCACTTCAAAGAATCCTGGACAGTTTTTACCTGGACTTTAACACTGTAACAGCCAGCGGTGAAAGAAGATCCTTTACTTCAGTAAAAGTACTAATACCACACTGTGACAGTACTCCACTACAAGTAAAAGGCCTGCATTCAAAACTTTACTATCTAAGTATTATATTAAATGTACTGTAAAAGTATGAAAAGTACTCATAGTGCAGTATTCAGTTTCTAGATTAATATTCCTGCTGCATTAATGTGTATGTTGAATTTTACTGCGGTAGATGTTTAAGGTTAAGCTAATTTTAACTCCTTTATATCCTGTTGGATAGTTTAACATATATATATATATATGTGTGTGTGTGTGTGTGTGTGTGTGTGTGTGTGTGTGTGTGTGTGTGCGTAAATAGCTTATTTTGCTGAAGAAACACTGGATAGGAAGGGGATAAAAAACTGTAATCTGAAAAGTAACTAAAGCTGTCAGACAAATGTAGTGGAGTAAAAACTATAATGTTGCAAAACATTAAAATACTCAAGTACTCAAAGAACCTCAAATTTGCAGTTAAGTACAGTACTTAATGTTGCATTCCACCACATAACAGCTATGTGTTTATGATCGTTGTGTGTTTTTCATGCAGGTAAACACAGGAAGTCTGGCCGAGACGTCGCCATCAAGATCATTGACAAACTCCGCTTCCCCACCAAACAGGAGAGTCAGCTGCGCAACGAGGTGGCCATCCTGCAGGTACACACACACACACACACACACACACACAGCGGTGCTACTCAGGAGCCTGTTGGCAGGGATTGTGACTTCCTGTCGTGAATGACTTCATTACCTTGGCAACACCGTAGGGGTGTGACATCCTGTAATATTCCAGCACTGCTCAACCTGCAGAAGCTGCTGCTGCAGTACACACCTGCACACTGTTCACTTCATGTCTGCTCTGTTGGTGGGACCTTTTTTTGGGAATATTATGATTAGATTTCATTTCTTGAGGTTGTAATTTATTGAAGCATCAGTATTGCATGTGAGTATTAAGACAGGTACACTATCCTAAAGATCTTTTTATAAAACATATGTCTCTATTTGTTCCTATTTGTCTGATAGCTGCTTTCCACCACTGCAGCTAAGTACATGTACTGCACGGTACAGTTTTGAGGTACCTGTACTTTACTTTACTACTTTGTACTTCTACTACGCCACATTTCAAAGGAAAAAAATTACCTTCATTTGACGGCTTTAGCTACTTTGCAGATTCAGATTAAAAATAAAACTTATTACATGTTAACATGAGACTTTATTAATCAATTCACAACCTACCCAGCTCCACCTTTACCAGCTGCACCATTAAAGGGATGAGCACATTAATGCTTCAATAATTATAATGTAATGATATATATTATTCTGAAATGGGCCATTCTGCTTTTATTTTTGGTACTTAAGTATATTTTGATGCATTGTGTTATTACTACTTTAATTGGAGTAAAAGATCTGACCACTTCTATCACCACTGCATAACTATCAAGACTCAAGACAGTTATCTTAATTTTATCAAACAAAAAAACTGTGGTGGAAACATTAATGGTGACAGTGTTGAGGCTACAACATGGCATACATTAATAAATTACATTTATAAAATAACCAAATACAAACTTGACCTTCCCAAAGCTTTACGCAACATCAGCTGGCAGCTAGCAGAGCTTTAGATGAAGAAGATAACTTGTCCTCCTTCCTCCAGAGTTTGCACCACCCGGGCGTGGTCAACCTGGACTGCATGTTTGAGACGCCGGAGAGAGTGTTCGTAGTCATGGAGAAGCTTCACGGAGACATGCTGGAGATGATCCTGTCCAGTGAGAAAGGACGACTGCCTGAGAGGGTCACCAAGTTCCTGGTCACACAGGTGACACACACATATATGCGCACACATACATCTCCACTTAGATGTCTGTGAAGATTCTCCGAAACAAGTCCAGTGGCCCTGGATTTGACTCTCCCTTGGATTTGCACTTAGCCAAATACTGTATATGCGTCTCTGTTGGTCAGTCTCAAAGGAGGTGGAACTGTATCTGAAGCTATTTGGTGGCTGTCAAAACAACCAGAGTAAGAGGAACTTCTGCACTTTAGCTGTTTAGTCACAGTTTAGTGAGTGAATAGTTTTTATAAAGTATGAGTGAGACAGAAGTCTAACTCAAGCCACTCTCTCACCCACACAGATCATTCAGTGGTTGAACTGATCAGGGATCCTATAAATGCAAGAGCACCTCAGTGCTTCTGGTATTTTTGTTCACATGTGTAGAAATGGCTGGAGGGATTTTTCCTTGTTGCTTTAATGAGATAAGTAAAGTAAAATAAAGTAAAGGTTATGTATGTGTCTTGAAAGGATTTATGTATGTATGTACAGCTTTTCAACATCTGGCTAGGATGTGACTCAAAACTCTATTAGAAACAGTCAGATTTCTATCCATCTTTAATGCTGCCTGGATGCTTTCTTATACTTTGCTTTTGGAGATAGGATAGCTGTCCTATCCGCCCAAGACGCATGAAGTGACTTAGTGTAAATGTGGGTCTTTAATACTGGACAAACACTAGAAGGCTGCTGCTTCATGTGGTAGCATTTGCTGAACCTCGTCCATTATCTTCTATCAGGCCAACAGTGTACCAAAGAAAATATCAAAATTTCCTGATCACATTCCTGCTCCCCAGAGGATGAACTCAGAAAGGTTAGTTTAGTTTTACTTTTGTTTGGTTTGGGAACAAACACATTTTCTGTAACTAGTTGGATGTACATGACAATTCATATTTTTACAAGAATTGAATTTGGATTAGAAACCCCGGGACTTAATGAATGTCCAGAATTACAGGTGCAGCTTTTCTTTCAAGATTTTATGACATGGACCTGTATGACCTTTCTCTAGTGCCGCCCTGAAAGGGTTTCTAATTATATCCAATCAGGTTGCTTAGATGAATTGTTCTTCTAGTAAATTATTATTAAATGCTTTGTTTGTGTTTCTGTGTGTCACCATCAGATCCTGGTGGCTTTGCGTCACCTCCACTTCAAGAACATTGTCCACTGTGATCTCAAACCTGAAAACGTCCTGCTGGCATCTGCAGACTCATTTCCACAGGTACTGTGTGTGTGTGTGTGTCATACTGCCAGCAAATGTTTATTGATTAGCTTGATTGTATTAACTGCCTCTCTTGACTATTTTTTATTGTGAGTTTCTTCTTTCTGTTTATTTACATACAGAATCGGGGGTGGGGGGGTGGGGGGATTAATGGACAGGCTTCTTTAATTCTAAAAGTAACATGCACCTGGATCATAATAAATGCACGGCTCTGAGACTTGAGTAATAAAATGAAATGTCTTTGAAAAAGTCCAAACCAGGTAGGCAGGGGAGATCAGGTGAACTTATCAAATACGGATCAGGTGAGAGAGCAGCTGTCCAAAAGAAAGGCAGGAGGTCATTACAGGCAAAACTCAGGCAGGCATAGATAAGGGCTGGAATGCTAACGCAGAAGCACAACAGACAATCTGGCGGGGAACCAATGGAAGTGCACTAGTAAATTTGCTACTGGGATGATTGATTGGTAAGTGGGAACAGGTGTGCCAGTGGGTGGGGGTTGGTGATGGAGAATGAAAGGAACACAGGGGTTATTGCAGGGCAGGTGGGGGTGACACGATCCAAAAGGACAGGAGAGTTATGCTGCGTTTCTACTTGTGAAATCTGAGAAAAAATATTTTCCCCCGACTTCACAAGGAGCAGTTGAATAACGTCACACTACAATGGCAGCTCCCATGGAAGCACACATTGTAAAATGGTAAATGTACAAGGCAACATAAAGTACAATTGCCTTTATTTAATTAAAATAATACATAATATCATTTGGTAAAACCTGTTCTGCATGATGTAGAAATATTTTGTGTTACATTAGAAATATAAATATAGCCAACAACATTTACTGACATTTGAGGTTTACGGATGTAACTAGACACACCAAGGGCAAAATCAGTTTGTCAAGGTAAGCCATGTGCTTCACTTTCAGCGTCACGCAACATCATGCACGCGGAATGCTTTGAGGTCGGAAGTCGGAAATTTCCACTTGGAAATTTCCAAGTTCCGAGCAGTCTGGAACACAGCATTAGTACATGGAAGGATAAATAACCAGACAAGGAAAATGTTAATGTTAAAAGGCTAGGAATTGACTGACATTGTGACACAAGGTCCCATTTAAAGATTTAAAACTATTTAAAATATCTGGATGCATCTTGACAGTGACAGACAGATAATGTGGTGCAGAATCTTTCACAGCTGTTTCCAATCACCCGGCTTCATGATACTAGGAGGTGACAGAAACAGAAAGATATATTTATACATAGAGGAAAGAAAGAAAACAGGAACATGCAGGCAAGCAAACAAAAACAGACGCAGACAGTCCATTAGCTGTCAGTGTAACTATTAGCAGCTTTCTGCAGTTTTCGGTCTCCTCTCCAGAAATAGCTGTTTGTGTCAGACAGACTAACTGTTAGCTCTAATGATGCATCAGGCCGGCTGTTGGGCTCAGGATTCCTCACACACTTTACTTACTGTGTATCATCTACAGAGCCTGCTACTCCTGCTAATAACAGGAAACAAACAAAATGCTAATGTCTTAAAGAGGTAGTTTGGAATTGTTGCATTAACTTTAGCTAAATGAGGTAATAAAAACATTTTAAGAAACTCTGACATTTTGTGGAATCCTTTTCTCTGTCTTCCTCAGAGTCAGATGAGAAGATGGATATCAGTTTCATCCGACCCCAACAATTTCAACAACTTCCGTCCTATTTCTAACCTACCTTTTCTTTTTAAAATTCTTGAAAAAACAGTTGGATACCAGGTCCATACACACATGTCTGACAATAACCTCTATGAACAATTCCAATCTGGTTTCCATCCCTGCCATAGCACAGAAACAGCGCTGTTAAAAATCACCAATGATCTTCTCATGGCAGCTGATTCCGGACTACTAACTATTCTCATCCTCCTTGATCTGAGTGTAGCCTTTGACACCATCTCTCATAACATCCTCCTTGACAGATTAGTCTCTGTTGGTTTCACTGACACACCCTTGGACTGGTTTAAATCATATCTCTCTGGTCGCACTCAGTTCATCCAACTCTAACATTTCAAATCAGAGCTATCCCCTGTCACTACCAGTGTTCCCCAGGGCTCTGTCCTGGGGCCCCTTCCGTTCATCATCTATCTTCTTCCTCTTGACCATATCTTTCGTAAATTTAACATCCATTTCAACTGCTATGCGGATGACACCCAGCTCTGCCTGTCTGCCAAACCTACCACATCCTTCCCACCCACCTCCCTCTCTGATTGCCTAACGGAAATCAAATCCTGGTTCTCTTGCAACTTCCTCAAACTGAACAGTGACAAAAATAAAGGTTCTTTTCATTGGCACCAAATCCACTTTTACTAAATCTGACAGTTTTTCTCTTACCATTGACAACTCCACAGTTTTCCCCTCCCCTCAGGTCAAGAGTCTGGGTGTGATCCTCAACAGCACACTTTTATTTCAAGCTCACATTAATAATGTCACTCGGTCTGCAAACTTCCTTTTACGTAACATTAATTCGCCTCCGACCGTCTCTCTCACCCACTAGTACAGCCATTCTCGTTCACACACTGGTCACATCACGAATTGATTATTGTAATTCTCTTCTCGTTGGTCTTCCTCTCAAATCCATACATAAACTTCAACTGGTTCAGAACTCTGCTGCCTGTATCATCACCAGAACACCTTCTATTAATCATATTACTCCTGTCCTTCAGCAGCTTCATTGGCTCCCAGTTAAATACCGCATTGATTTCAAAACTCTGCTCCTGACCTTCAAGGCCATTCATAACCTCGCTCCTCGGTTCCTCACTGACCTCCTTCATATTAACACCCCCACCCGTACTCTTAGGTCTTCTTCTTCTATTCACCTCACTGTACCTCCTGCTTGTTTGACCACTATGGGGTTCCGAGCCTTCAGCCTCTCTGCCCCTTGTCTCTGGAACTGTCTTACACCAGACATCCGCAACATTGACTCGCTTTCCATTTTTAAATACCGTCTGAAAACACATCTTTTTAAGCTGGCATATCCCACGTGATCACTCTTTCTCAATCTTTGTTTCCAGTTGTTTTTGTTATTAATTTTATCAATTATTGCTGTACTGTTTTATTATGTTTTATGAGGTGACATTGTGTTCAGAAAGGCACCTATAAATAAAATGTATTATTATTATTATATTATTATTATTATTATTATTATTATCTCTGTGTGTCCATAATAGAGAAAGGTCCAGGACATGTTTAGCTTAGCTTAGCACAAAGACTGGAAGCAGGGGAAACTGCTAACCTAGCTCAAAGAGAAAAGAAAGAAATCAGAAAATATGCTTCCTTGTGTTGAAGCCAGTGATCCGAAAAGGCCATTATCAGTAATGTAGGGCACTAACATTAGCTAGCCACCTATCATGTCCAATTTATATTCGGTCTCTTCAAAGTTATTTTGATTGATTTCCAACACAGACGTCCGTTGTTGATGAGCTAAAAGTTGTTAGCACTAACATTGTCTTACATTAGCTTGCTAGCTAACCAGCAATCAAGGGCAAAATATAATCTGGAGTTAGATCATGGAGAGCCAGTTATCAATCCTAAAACAAACAGAGAGCCAATGATGAGGCTTAAATAGATGACATGATCGCACCTCTTGATTCTGATTATTTAAGACCTGAAATCGACTGCAGACTGTGCAGAACTCAGCTGCTCAGCTTTTAATCAAGACAAGAGAAGGGGCTGTTGTGACAGTCAAGGCATGAGGAGATGAAAGCATGTATAACAAATTCTACATCTCGTGAAAAGTAGATGGCAGTATTTTTTTGTTATATGTTGGGGTCAAATTACAAGGTTTCACACGCTTCACAGGGAGGTACAACTGTTTGTCATCTGCATAACAGTTAAATAAAATACCAAGTCTCCGAATCACATCGCCTGGGAGGAGCATATGCAGAAAAAATATGTCAGAGAATAGACCCTTAAGGCACACCATAATTGATGAGACAAAGATGACACAAAACTTCCTCTTCCGTGTACAGAGGCCTAGGATAGTATAGTATTTGTAAAAAAGTGATGATAAAGCGTCAAGGCTTAAATTGGGTGCTTTGAAATACATAAAAATATACATACACCGTTCCACACAGTCACAGCAATGATAGTCCAAAATTTTGGGCCAGACCTGCACAAATTATACAAACTAGTCAACGATGATGATTAACAGGAAAGTAAAGCATTTAGGTTTGAAAGGTCACAAACCAGAGATCTTAAGAAAGAAAGACAATCAGTGGCATGTGAGATTTATTTCCAAACACCTCTGGCCTCTTGTTTCAGGTGAAGCTGTGTGACTTTGGGTTCGCTCGGATCATCGGCGAGAAGTCGTTCAGGCGTTCGGTGGTCGGTACACCGGCTTACCTCGCTCCCGAGGTCCTGAGGAACAAAGGCTACAACCGCTCTCTGGACATGTGGTCGGTGGGAGTCATTATCTACGTCAGGTAGGAAACTCATGCGAAATCTTTATAGACTCAATTTTAAATGCTCTTTCTTTGTTTAGCTCCAATATCTTTGTTTTGCTTGCTATTTCTCCTTTAATGTGCTTTGTTTTTGTTCTTGTCTTTTACGTGCTTTCTCTATTTTTCCGGATTTGTTGCTTTCTTTCTGTCTTTCTTTCTCTTGCTTCCCTGTATTCCTAACTTTCTCTTCATTTTCTTTCTTTAGTTTTACATTTTCTTGCAGTCCTCAGCAAAATATCTCAATATACAATCTATAAGCAATCAAATGCCATAATGGCATTATCACAATGAACTGAATTGTAGGTTAAATCTTTCAAATCTGCAATATGATTTCTGTATTTTATAAAACTCAACTTGTCTTTTCTGCAGTCTCAGTGGGACGTTCCCTTTTAATGAAGATGAGGACATCAACGATCAGATCCAAAATGCTGCCTTCATGTACCCTCCACATCCCTGGAAGAAAGTTTCCCAGGAAGGTACATAATATTATGGGCCACAACCTCTTCAGCGATCTGTAACATACTGTGTAATTAAGAAAGACAGTGTTAATGTCCTGCCTGTACACCGTAGCGCTGTTTGGCAGGAAAATAAAACATTTTACATCCTATGTGGGGGATCCCACCGCCCACTGCATGTACCTGAACCTTTGTCATCTACGCTATCTTCCTCCAATGGCATCTAAGAAAACAAAGTGTATATTTATCAATCTTTTTATTTTTAAAGGTTGTGATTGTTAGCTATCGAGCCAGCTAGCTAGCATAACACTAAAGCCATAGATGGACCTTGGGCCTGGCGCTTCTGACGTCCAAAAATCCAAAATTTTTATAGGGCAGACATAGCTAAATGAATGTTCATGATATGTGATATGTGTAAATAATAAAAATGAACATTCAGCTTTAGCAAGTTTTGTCTTTAAGCTTTTTGGGTGTTACCTGTAGTAATAATAATGGCCCAAAATGAACCCTGATAACTCTGACTTTGCACCAATGAATCATCATTTTCTTCAGCTTAATGTCACATGTGCACTGCTATCCTGGTTATAATCAGGCTTTTGGAGTATTTTATCCTGGTTTTGAGAAACCTGATGAAATTGATTGAGAAATTGGGATGTTCGCAGGTGCCTCATCAGCTCAAGTTGCATAGCAGTTAGTCATTTAAACAAAAGTAAAGTAATGATGTTTATCTTGCTCAAATACAGGGAAAGTAACTCGTGTTTTCTATTACCAGTTATAAGAAAGAGAAGCTAAAGCATCCAGGTCCAGGCAGCCAGAATAAAAAAACAGAGGTGAAATGATCTTGATCAAAACCAGGATATGACTCAAAAAACAGTATAGTCGCGCATGCGTAAACACTTGGTGGTTTTGTTGCCCTTCCTCTACCAACAAATATAAATAGTGTGAACAAATGAATGCTTTGTTTCACCTTTCAGTGTGAGTCGTGGTTATTTTTTGTCATCAAACATCATCCTGCTGCAATATGATCGCTTCAACACGTCCTTGAAGTCAGTTCGAGCCATTCTCTGCTGCTGCGTGACTCATGTTGCTGTCGTCATTGTCTCTAAATGCGTCTGCCGAGTGTGTTGGCTGGAATTGTCCTGTTGACTATGAGACGGATTTAAATCAGCCTGACTCACTCGCTCCTCGGCCGGATCCCCGAAGCGCTCTTCACCTTCCCTCCACCTCCTCATCCTACCAGAGCGACTTCAGCTGGGCTTCAGAATAAATGCTGTAAAAGTCGTTTCTGTCAGCCGCAGGAGGATTAAATGTCAGAGAATAAACTCTTGAGTGCGTCAACAAATCTGCATTTTCAAAGATCACTTAAAAAGAAGACGCTTTAAAGGGATTCTGTTATAGAACTTAGTTTTTTTTCTCCACCCACACGCAACCACGATTCAAGCTTTTTAATTTGGAAGAAGTTAGGGCGCTTTTGAACTTCCACCTTTTGTTGTGACCACAAACATCAAATTTTGTTTCACGATCATAGACCTGAATATTAAACATGTGGCATGAAACAGTCAGATATAGTCAGCCCATGCTTTTATGATGTGTGATCCAATATAGCAAATAGTGTCCAATCATGTTCTTCTCACAGTGAAGCTGACATTTTTCAGGAAAACAAATCTGGCTGAGAGTTGTAGATATCTTGCTTGGAGTGTTGGATAGACTGACAACGCCATCCTTTGGCCCCACTTCTATAAAAAAAAGTGAGTCATGTGACTCCCTGAGAAAGAGGAATGAGAGAAATATCCTGGCAGCTCTTGGAAAGAGAGTTAGACAGACAGATTCAGGGGGTATTCATGTGGTGGTCCATTCATGTGCATAATACCAAGCGATGGAGGCCCCTGAAGACCTGAGGGGCCCAGGGGTCCCAGAGCTGTTCAGACCGCTGACCCCTGAAGAAATGTTAACATCATGTTAGCTTTGCTCATTAGCCCCGACTGGCCCCTCACCACAGGTGGGGGGGGGCCCGACCCTACATCCTCCTCCCCTCCCCTGCTTCATCCCTCCCTCGACCCTCGCTTTACCTCAACATTTCCTCGCTCATCAAGTCTTCCTTTTTCCTTCCTTTTCTTTCTTTCCTCCCTTGCAGCGATTGACCTGATTAACAACCTGCTACAAGTTAAGATGAGGAAGAGGTACAGTGTTGACAAGACCCTCAGTCACCCCTGGTTACAGGTAAGTACATTAATAAAATCAAACATTTATATTCAATCATTTTGGGGGTATTTCTGAATTTATTTAAAGGTTAAATTAGGGTGAAAGAGAAAAACAAACATCGGGAGAGACATGAAATAACATGTTGTAAAGGTCACCTACCTTCATGCAACCAGCAGAATCACCTGGACTCCTCCCAAACAAAGACTGAACGAGGAAGTTGGAGTTAAATTAAACAAATTAACTAACTTTAATTCTACTGTAACAACTAAATAAAGTGTAAATACTACAATAAAGCTAGGGATGTAACAGAGGACCAAAGACTTTCTTTTAACAATGAAAGCCAGAATAAAGTTCTGGAGTAAAGAGCTCAGTAATGTAATCCAAACTTCATAGAAACTTAAATTTAAAAACCTATTTTTTTTTAGCTTTTTCCTATTGCTATATACTACCAGCTTTGATCATATGACTGAACTTCCATACTTACTGTAGGTCACCTGATGACAACTGAGCACAGTCCTTCTGGTTGGAACATTATGAAATATGGTTGAAAGCCCCAGAACATTTTGTCCTGGTGGTGGCACTACAGGAAAGGCCATGGTGTTACCAAAATCGTTACGATTCACCCTCTGGGGACCATCAATATCTACAGCGAGCTTGATGGTAATTTGGCCTGTAATTCTAAAATTAGTTTAGCCTCCTCTCTTGGTCTTTCTTTAATTATTTTAATAGAGGGTCTAAGGGATAGAGAGTTTCAAATGTTGAAACTGTAGTAGTAAGTACAATTTGGGGCTGTATAAATGAAATAAACCAGTGGAAAGATGGATGAAACAATTGACATTGTGGGTCCCAAAATAAAGTAATGATCCTGGGACTAGTATCTGCTTCCCCTTGGACATATTATCCATAAACATGGCATTTCTTTTTCATATTTATGCTGATGACACACAAATGTACTTGCCCGTAAGATCCACAGACCCTGGAATGCTGAGTTCACTTAACAACTGCCTTTGTGAAGTTAAAAAATGGATGTCAAATAATTTCCTCCAGCTGAACTCAGACAAAACAGAAATCCTGGTAATCGGGTCTCAGCAGATGGCAAATCAAATACTGCCATCTGCTGGTTCCCTAGTAAATCACATTAAGCCTGTGGCAAAGAACCTTGGTGTTTGGTTTGATAGTAGGCTCTGGAACAGCCTGCCCGAGGAAATCAGGTCAGCTGAGTCAGTGAACTCTTTTAAATCCCTTCTTAAAACATACTTTTATAGGAGAGTATTTACTGATCTTATTTGACTTTATTTTATCCCTTTTATTTTACTAATTTTATATTTATCTTAAACGTGTATTTCAGTCTTTTCAATGTTTTCTTGCTTTTATCTTGTATTGTTTTTGTATTATTGTCTTTTGGGTATTATTGTCTTTACACTTGTTAAAGCACTTTGTAACTTGTTTTTGAAAAGTGCTCTACAAATAAAGATTATTATTATATTATTATCTCTGAGGGTGTGTTTGTTTTCCCTACCAGGACTACCAGATGTGGCTGGACCTGAGGAACCTGGAGTCCCGGATGAACGAGCGCTACATCACCCACGAGAGCGACGACCTGCGCTGGCATCACCACGCCCAGCTCAGCGGGCTGGACTACCCCACGCACCTCTGCAACGGCCCCCGTGGCAACAACGGACAGGGAATGGAGCGTTATCAGGAGCAGGAGGAGGAGCTGGAGACCCTCAGTGAGAGGGTCAGTGAACTCTGAAGACGGGGCCACATGTGAAGAGATTCATCTCCGACGTGAGACAAGAAACAGCAACTGTGACAAAATGAAAGAAAGCACAACATTTAAACAAGTGAGGAGACATTTTAAAGAGCTGTTAAATGCAAACTTTTACTAAAATAACTTACAAAGCGTTATTAAAATACCAGTTTAAATTTTCACAGCCCATTAAACCAAATAAGGGTCGTTGTTTAGGATATATGGGAGTTTAAGCTGTGAACCTTTTCTATGAAGGTGCATTGCATTCACTAAAGGAAAATAAAATCTCATACTTTTAACTTAACATCTCATAATTACTTGGTCTATATCTCATTATTATGATGAAAATATCCCTGCAAGTTAGCTTCAGCTAGAAGCCTTGCAAGATTTGTGCCTCGTTATTAAGAGATGCATGTTTTGCCCTTGCAAGATAAGGATATTGTAACTTTTTTAATCTGAATTAATAGTTTTCATAGTTATTTCGTTCCGTACTTACAAAGTGCTTGTTATGTAAAGGCCTTATTTTATATATTTTTACAACAGGATCTTTTCATTACTGCATTTCGTAAGTACGAGATCCTTGTTTTGTAATTTCAAAGTAAGGATTTATACATATTTTATCTCATGATTATGAGATCGTTGTTTTACAAAGTACCAGATAAGGATTTAGTGATTATGTTATCTTTGTTTCATTTTTGTTATTGTAATTGATTTCTCTATTTTTGTTGATTATTACAAATGAAAAAACAATGTTTTGCCCCTGTTGTCCCTTATAAACAAGTAAATAGTGATGTATGATCATATCTTATAATTACAAAGTATCTCCTAATTACAAGATATGGATTTTGTGATTAAGAGATAGTGATCTTGTAATTTCAAGTCATAATTTTAAGATAATACAAGCACTGATAAGATAATTGCTAGATCTAAACCTCATAATCAGTTCCATATATTGTTATTACAAGACAAGGATCCATAATTTCTGGATATTGATCTTGCGAGTTTGTATACAGATCTCCTAAGTCTGAAATGCATAATTACAGAATTAAAACAACATTTTTTCTTTGGTGATTGCAATGCACGCTCATAGTTTTCAGCCTTGACCCAGAGTTATTTATCAGAAAGGCTAAAAGTAGTACTTCTTTTAGACAATCAGAAAAATCAAGCTGCTACAGAAACTTAGCCTTTGATTTACATTCGTCCAAAACACGAAACTTCCCAGTTTGTGCCTCTCTTTTAATAATCACTTTTTCTATATAAAACACTTTGCACTGATGATTACGGTCAAGTTATGGAAATAAGCCACAGCTTTAAATTGAATTAATCTTGAAACAGAGAGGCAGATCACTATCCAAATTTTAGTTACTCTCACTTAGCCACAGAACATTTTATTACAACTTTCTTTTAGATTTGACCTCGTGTAAAATAAATTGCTTGTTCAATAAAATAATTTATACATTAATCAACAGCTCTAAACCGGCAACAAAGCTAAGAAAAGCGTCATCTTCGCTTTGCATCTTCATCTATGACAGAAAGGTTTTTTTTGCATGTAATGTGTAATTATTTAAAACTATAAATGTCTTCTATAAGATTTAAACTCTAGTGAGGACAGTTGATGTGTTTTATTTTGTAGGGTAGCAATGAAATGTCAGGGGTTTTATTCCAAAAGGACATATCCAAAAGTTCAAGTTAATCACACGAAAAAAACTAATGCATTCATGAAAAACAATTCACTATGATGATAAAGTACTGTATGTTTCAGGTATCCTTTATTTCCTGAAAATGGATTTGTAGCATTTTGGAATGAAAATCCTCAATCGCTCAAAAAACAGTGCCAACAAATACCAAAAAAGAGATAAATATTTTCGTTTGTCAGTATTTTCAGGTTCTGTTTTTCTGAACACTGTAACCACAGGTATCCAACACTGACAGAAATGTTTAGATGTTTTTGCATCACTTGGGTTTTAATTATTTTTTAAATCTTTGTGAGATTTTAAGTTCACAAATCATTTAAGGCTGTCTGGACCACAGGGAGGCAACAGTAGCAGCTCCCCTTTTAGTGGGTGTTGCCAACTGTGGTTTAACAACAAAATGGCCGCCTGTCAGTCAGTCTGAAGGCCATTGAACATTCAAGTCTTTTTTTTTCTGAGAAAACAGTTACTAACATATATTTTTAAATCAAAGCAAGTAAAACTTGCCTGTGTTTTCAAAAAATAGCATCGTGTGCCTGTTGTTTTCAATTCGACAATTTCACCTGAATGCTACGTAGCATCTTCTGTAAACATTATGAATGTTGTAAGTTTCTCAGCACATTTACCGTACGTATAGCCCAAATACACGCTGTTCTAACTTTATATGGGATATGTCTTAAAGGTCATGATCACTCTGGAAGCTTTTCTGATGTGCTGCATCTTTATCTCAAAATGTAGCCTAGTTAGCCTTTGGGTTCAACATTAAACTTTAGCTAAAGAATGTAGATTTCAAGACTTTATCAGGGGTCAAGTTCCTAGATTAGACAATAAAACCATATTTTCACTGTTTTCATTTTGGATAAATTAGCCAATGCTAGCAAGATAACACCTTAACCGCCAGGGGGCGGAGCTAGATTCTCAGCACAGTGGGGGCGGAGCTTCATCACGGGGCCCACATGCGTCCGTCTCATAGGCCACTCTAGTCAATACTTGTGCTCACACCAGAAGTGTCTGTCCCCTCCTCTCTGGAGAGAATACCATTTTCAAAATAAAATACCCTGTACAGACCCCCGATCGTATATCAACAATAAACACAGTTAAAGCAGACAAAAAAGAAACAGTTTAACTATGTAGCTTACTTAATCATAGTAGAAGGTCAAAATCAAGCACTAATCACTAAATGAACAAAATCTAAACATGTCAGCAAAGTTAGGCGGCAAAACGCTCTTATTCTGAAATGCTCCCTGTGGGCTCTGCAGATCGGAACGAAAGCAGGTCACAGAGAGATGTGAAGAAGTAGTAGAAGCACAAAAAGAACATATTAAAAACAAGTCATTAACGTGGGGCAGGCTGCACGCTCCGCTGCTGAAACACTTTGGCTTCCAGTGGACGTACACGCCGCCTGTGTCAGTCCAGGGTGATATATAAAAGCCTAAGTCCGTCCCCCAGAATTACCTTGATGCACGAGGTTTGTTAAAATTAGCTAATAAGTCTTCTACTTGTTTGAAATACAAAACTTGCTTTGTGAATTATGATTTTTTGTGTCTGCTTAGAATATAGTGTTTTTTTATGTTATTTGTCATTCATGTGGTGGCTTACTATGCCTGTTTCATTAGATAAGAACGGCTGCACTGAGTGATACAAGTAACCAATTCACTTGTACAGTTGTGTCTACAAGTAATTGACTACACATTTGTGACCCACGGAGCGGGACTCCTGCCTAGCTGGGGCCCTGGGTCGGCCGCCCGCATGCACCCGCGCTTTCTCGGCTCTGTTTCCAGTGACACAGCTGTGCTTTACTTTATGGAAGAAGGAAAAAAACGCCTTATATGACACAATAAAAACTAAAAAGTTTTTCCATTTTTGGTTTGGTGGTCAGTATGTCATTAAAAATATAAAGATATAGAGTCATAAGGATAATTGCAAAAGAGAACTTGTCTTTATTTTATATATAACTAAGCAGCAAGTCATGTTAATTATAGGCTACGTTCCGTTTTCCAAATATAGACAAGAATATTAGGCATAGGCCTACCAAACACATATTTCATCTGCAACAACAGGCTCACTTTTCACGATCACTTTTCGGCACGAGACCTGTATGTTCTGCTGTCCAGTCTTTCTGGTCACGTAAAATCTCATTTCAGGTCTGTTAACACCTTATACAGTCTATGATTAACAGGCCACCAAAACCGGGGATGTCTGGTCACCCTAATCAGCAGGTATGTTACCGTCAGCTTTCATCTACGGTAGCTCACCAACAAGCCCAACAAGTAGTCACTACATCACCAAACCTCCAAAAGCACCCATTTCACGAGAATTAACGACTCTCTTTTTTGTACTTAATGAGAAAACAGTTTACTCCATCACTTTGTTACGTTGCTCTGTTTTTTGAGTATGGAAAATTAAGCTTGTTACAACCCCTCTGGCTTTCTGTGTTTCTGGCTTCCATGCAGTAAAATCTGAGAACATTTCATTGGGTTTTTTAATTTCAGATCATAGAACATGACTTCAAACCTTTTTCCAAATCATTTTGGCACTTCTCGTTTTTTCCCTCCTACAGTCTTTTTCCACCAGAACACACAGTGGGCGGCTGTAGTGATCACTGCAAATGAATTTTAAAAGTTTATAGTTTATTGCCCTTTGTGCTGCTCAGTGGACAGTAATGGTTCAGAAAAGGCCTCCCGTCACGCTCTACAGGACATCTGTTTACCGATAAGCATGGCAAAGTTGAACCGCCACATTTTGAACTCCTCCCATACAGAGACAAAGGAGAAAAGCATGTATCAAGGTTATTATATTATTATGATACTGCCATAGATCTGAAAAATAAGGGCTGTTTCTCTGAAGCCTTCATGGCCTTGTCTTCTCCGTGCCTGCCTCTTCAATGCTTCTGTCTTCTCTGAAACTGACATGGAACAGAAATGTCACCTGTCTCGTATGTTTCTCTGTAAAGGTGACTTATTAAGAATTTGTTTAAATACTTGTTTTTGTAATTGTGTGCACAAATGGTCCCAACAGTGGTGTGTGTGTGTGTGTGTCTGTGTGTGTGTGTGTTATCTATTACAAAGAAACTGTAGATGACTGGAGGTGCAGGAGCTCTGGGTGTTCACCCATGCAGCTACAGTCTGCTACTGAAGATATATACAGACTATTATAAGGACTAATAAAAGGAAAGGTGAGGTTTTGTCAGGTGATCAGGAAACAGTACTACTAATTTTCCCACAGACATATGCCTGTCTCAAAACACAAGTTTGAGCTCGTGTCTTGGGGAGTTCGAACTTGGAAGATTAAACTCAGGAGTCCAAACTCGAGAATTAGGACTCAGGAAACTTTTGATGACAGCAAGATGTGGTCTGATACACCTGTTATCCTCACTGTGATGTATATTTATACTATAAAAAAAATTAGATATCATACACCACACTGCAAATGCTTGATTTATTTTATACATAGATATGTATTTATTTTTAGTGTGGTGAGAGCTGTAAATATAACTGTGTTCAAACAGAAAGCAAAGCAAATTTTTCATGGGAATTGTGCAATGCGAATGATGCAAATACAAATAATTCGCTTATTCACGTGAAAGTGTTCAACTTGTGCTTCTACTCAACTTCTACTCTAAATGTAAGCGAGGAAGTTGAGCTACCTCCTAAGATCTGAAAATATGTGTGTAGATGACTTAACAAATCAGCATCATGATGTAGTTATTTCGGGATCCTTTTGATCCATTTGGCAGTTTGTGTTTAAACTCGCTCGAGGAAACACAAATAATCCTGCGGTCAAACTCGCTTTGCTTTCTGTGGGAACACACCATAAGGAACCAGAACAACACAAGGCAATGCTGTTGTATAACATTAATTAAAAATGAACATCTAAACTTTACCTTCAGACCAAACCAATTTGGCAGCAGAAAACTTTGTATTTTGACTCTGAGACCAACAATTTAATGTACAAAGTGTATCTTATGTTTAAAAGACATCCGAGCCACCGGTAAATAATCAAAGGGCTTCTTAAGACTGTTCTCGCTGGGGATGACAACAGATGTTGATCAGCAGGTCATCTCAAATCTTTTGAGATTACAAGGAAGTCACTACTCTTGGCCAAGAAGTAGTCCCTCACATACTCCCCCGAAAAACCACAACTTGGCTATTTTACACATTGTTTTTTGTTTGCATTAAAAAAACAAACAAGTGGATTTCAATGCCACGCTAGCGGTTTGCCACTGCTTTCTGTTTTTGTGCTAAGCTAAGCTGACCATGCTCCGGCTTCCTATTTACGGGACAGATATGAGAGCAGTATTGATTATCTCATCTAGTTCTCTGCAAGAAAAGGGCACAAGTGTGTTTCCCAAAATGTCGAAAATATTCTTTTAAAGCAAGTATACTTTTACACCCTTGGACAAATGTTACAGAAGTTAAATTTGCTTCTTAGTAAGTTTAGTTGAGTAGAATATTTTCATATTTTGGGGTTTGGTTATCTCCAGACAATCCTTTAAGGATTTAAAATCTACCAGCAGGGGATATTAGTCAAGATCTAGGGATTTCTAAATTAGATTTAGGACTTAAGCCGGGCCTGTAGTTGGTTGGAGGTTGTGGCCTGTGTGTGAAACGTCACAGATTTGATGCTGTGAGTGTCCTTATGTAAAACACTGACTGGTGACTGTAAGTTATTTGTAGAGTCAAAAATATAAAAGTAAAAAGATGAACATTTTGCTGTGCGTTTCAGCTCAGTATTACAAGAGGAGTGAGGAGTTTCCTATGAATGTGTTTCGCTTTGGGCTCAGAGCTGTTAGCCTCCAGTGATGAAGTGTGTGTCCGTGTGCTGAATGCTTCACTCATCTGGCGTCTGTGCTCTGAACAACCTGCCTGAAGTGCTCACAAAGTGTTTGCTATCTGCAGGAACTTTAAAGATGTATTTTTTTCTGGATCATGTTTAAATAAAGATATTTTAAAATCAACTTGTGTGAGATGTGTTCAGTGGCATTTTCTTACAGAAATAACCTCATACATGTTAACTGCTCTTACACAGAAAATACAGTATAATCTCTGGAGGACAGTTTGTATGATCAGAGGGACAAATAAGTGTAGTTTGTACCACAGTGAGCAAACAGTCTAACCTTTCCAGGATTTTTCAATCTATGGTATCGAATCCAAAACACTTCCAAATGTTACTTTTCAGATAATTTGGTGTTATTGCAATCTGTTTTTTTTTTTACTTTTCCCCATTTTACAACACCTTTACGACTGGAAAAACAGGCAGATGCATCTCACAGCAAACGTAACGAACCAACCCCCACAACACATCTGTTGTGCTTATACACTTTGAATATTAAATTAGAACAGATCATTTCAGCCCTAGTAAACATCTGCCAAGGCGACCCAGTCTCCTAGAAGCACAAGTGTTTCTAACAGCAATAGTTGTATTTTGAGAGTAATGCCACCAGGATGACATCTTTTTTTATCAACATAATCATCATGATGAGTTGGGCTAAAGCTTGTCTTGCCTTTAAATGGTTATGTTTAAGCACTCCAAGCACTCGAAAATGATGGTCTTGGTAAAATATTTAAAGAGTCAACACCGACTTGAAGCAAGTGCCCACTTCCCACCCCATTGTCATTCTGCGGGGTACAACAACGTACTTTACTGGAAGAAACTTTGCCACTGAACTGATAATCCAGGCAGCGATAACATAAAACACACAGTGTGTGAGTCCGGATTTGAAAGCAATCAAGGTTTTGATCCCCACCCCCCGTGCAAATTCGTTTGACTTTAATAATCAGCTGCTAAAACTACTTGTCTGTAACATAATACTTTTCTGTGTGTGTACGGGTTAAACACTACAGTCTGTGTATTTTACTTTGCACTTCAACTGCATTATTAATACAAGCACAAACCAATGAATAAATGATAATGTATTATTATGAAGCTACCCTGCAGTTTACAAAGTAGTTGTAATAGCTCCATCTTTACCAGCTGGACCATTAAAGTTATTAAACACACTAATGCATCAATAATAATAATAATCCAATAATAAAATATGTATTATTCTGAAATGAGCCATTCTGCATACTGAGTAGTTTTACTTTTGGTACTTTCAGTATATTTTGATGCTAATAATTTTGCACTTTTAAAAGATTTTAAATGCAATATGGTATTAATACTTTCCAGTAATAGATCTGAGTTCTTCTTCCACCACTGACCACTGGGGAAGAGCTCCATGTCGGTGGAGGTTTAGTGCTCGGTGAGAGCCTTCTTGTTTGAGGTTTGATGGTAATGGCCGGTGACAGGAAAGGATAATGCAGAAGCGGATCTTTAGAGAGACAAGTGGAAAGGGTCAACGCTGACGGACGGGTTAGCTGCCGAGTAATCCCTCTAGCTCACACCAGAACAGACCAAACCAGGTCCTGACTGAACAAACAGCCTTTTTAGATTCACATTTTGAATATTTCAGTTTAAAAATTAAAATTTAGCAGTAGAAACACTTTTGTTTTTACAGGCTGAGATAGAAATACTTAGAGAAGAGGATACCAACTGCTATAACTACACCTACACTACTATTACCTCTGCTGCTGTTAGAACCACTGCTTTACATAATATATATATATACTTCTGATGTTGCTATACTAGAAAAGTACTGCAAGAGTGCTGTAAATACTACTTTTACTGCTGCTGCTACTACTGCTTGTACACCAAATCCAAAGTATCCTCTATTAACATTGCTGCTACAACTACTAGGCCTAGTATAGCATTACTCCTTTTACATTAATACACATATTGCAGTAAATACTACCACACAATAAGAGTAGAACAAGAGCACCCTAAATCCAATGATGATTAGTTCCTTCTGGTACTACATCTACTACTGTGGCTGCTGCTTGAGCTACTGCTAATATTATTACTACTTCTACTAAA